ACGTAGTTCTTCATTTATGATCTCATTTAATACATTACCCTATTTCTTATAGTTCTAATTAGTCGTTTGCCCGCGCTATGCTACGAGTCTAATAAAAAAAATCATTTTAAATTTTAAAAAAAAATTATAATTTTTTTAATAAATTTTCCGCTTAAAAAAAACATAAATCATTTTTTTATGGATTGATTTTAAAATAAAAAATATAAGAAATTTAACTAAAATATTAATAAATAATTAAAAAACTTTTAATGCTAATGAGAAGATTAATTTTTAAAATTATTCATGCAATACTACGGGTAGATAAAAAAATTATTTAAAATTTTTTCATTATTTTTTATTTAATTATTACAACTTTTTTTTTTTTGTTTCTCATAAATGTTTTGCTTAAAAAAATGATTTAATATTCTTTATGTAAGGATTCTTAAATAAAAACTTGTAATAATTTAAACCTTCAATATTAATTAAGAATTCAAAAGAAAATACTTTAAAATTATATATATTTTTTTATAAGAATGCATCAAAAAAATAAAGTCACAATTAATGTATAGACTTGCATAAAAATTAACAAATGAAAAAATAAAAATTTGTTCTTATTTAACGTTGGTGAGAATATTGTTTTTTTTTTAAAATATATACATTAGATCTATATATGTTTATTTACAAAATAATCAACAAAATTAGCATAAAAAATATATTTTAATAATTGGTTGGCTCCTTTAAAAAAATATTTTAATTATTTTATTAAAAATAATTTTTTTATATAATGTTAAAAAAATATTCATAGTAAATAATTTGTATTATGTTAGAAAATGTATAGTTAATTTTTAATAAAATCAACGATTCAATAGTTTTTTTATATGTCTTGATCATACCCGGTGAACTAAGACAAATTATTTGAAATACGCTTTTAACCTTTTAGAATAAAATAATTATATATGTATATATGCGCAACTATTATTTAAAAATTCTTAGAATTCATGATATATATTATACTAATTTATTTTTTAAAAAAGAAAAAGCAATCATGTTTTAAAATTTTATTCTAAAATTCAAACATAGAGAAAAATAAATTTTATTTATTAGTAAATAAAATCTTATATAAAAAATATTAATTGGATTCGAATTTTCATAAAAATGATAAATTCAAAGAATGAAATCTAAATGATATGAGTAATATAAGTCGACGTATATGTTAATTTTAAATTATTGAAAGATAATGTGTGTGTGTGTATATATATATATACACACATACACATGCCGTGTGAAATTGAAAGAAAAATGAAAACTAAGAATTGAAAAAAAAATGTTACAACATGAGGGATGAAAAATAGAAAAAAGTGTTAAATTTGCATATTAGTGCCAAAAAAAAAAAAATGACACACAAAAATTACTTAAATTGCTATCAAGTGAATAATAATTTTATGCATATGAACAATGGGTGAATAGGAATTTTAGACATATGAATAATTCGGATTCTTGCGTTATGTCACGGATCAAACTAAACATATTTATTTCAGTTTGATAATATATACTATGCTATCGGTCAATTAAAATATATTAAATTAAATATAAAAGATAAAATTTTATATAATTTTATAATTTTTAATCAATATATATATATTGAAGTCAAAAAAATATGATTTTTTCTTTGGTATGCATTTATTCTTAAATAAAACCCATAATAAACAAATTTTAATATAAAATTTTAAAAAACACATCTTGATATTTTTCATTATATTGTATTAAACAAATAAAGCAACAATTAATATAAAAATTTATATGAAAATTAACAAATGAAAATTATTTTTTGAAATATATATATTTGATTTATATATATTTATTCACAAAATAATGAATAATATTAGCATACAAAATTGTAGTTGAATTATTAAGCACTTGTTCTAAAATATTATTTTAATTATTTTATTTGAAAAAATCATTTAAATATTAAAAAATAATAGTAAATAGTTGGTATTGTGTGTGTAAATGCATAGTTGATTTCTAATAAAATCATTAACTCTAATGTTATTATTTTTGATACATCATGACCATACTCAATAGGTGAAAATATATAAAATAATTAAGAAATATTTTAAAAAATTAAATGGTTGAATATATATTGAAGTTAATAGAATGCGGTAAAAACTATAAAACTAATTTCGATAAAATTAGATTATGTAAAAAAATAAGAAAATAAAATACATATATTCAATTTTTAAAATTTGATTATATAAGAATCAAGTAAATAAAAATAGATATTAAAAAAACTTATTTAAATCCATACATAGAGAAAATAAGTCATATTTATTAATAAATAAAATTATAAAAAATAAGAATAAAAATGATCTTAATGAGATTTTTTATCAAAAAAATCAATTTTATACAATAAGAGTAGTTTTTATTTATTCTAAAATATATAAAAATATTGTATAAATGTAAAAAAATATCGTATATATTATATAATCGTCAGTTTATGTGGAAAAAAAGTAACAATTGATTTTTCAAAATTTTAACACCTAATTAAATAAAAAAAGAACATAAATTGATGAAAAAAAGGCAAAGAAAAAAAAGCATGAGTAGCATTATATAATCGTTAGTTTGTGTGGAAAAAAGTAACGATTGATTTTTAAAAATTTTAACACCTAATTAAATAAAAAAACATAAATTGAAGAAAAGAAAAAAAAAGAAAAAGCATGAGTAGTGCATCGGATAGAGGATTGAAATTTTTATTTTAAAATTTTAGAGACGAGAATGAATAACCTAAAATTTTTTTAAAAAATAAAATAAAATAAGAACCTAAGATATCAAAATAAATAACCTGAAAAGTTTTTTTAAAAAAACCTAAGAGATCAAAACGAAACGACATGAAAATTAAAAAAAAAATTAAAAAGGAACTTAGCTTGATGGAAAAAAACAAAAAAAAAAAAAAAGATATGTATTCCCAACAACTTGAATCAAAAGAATGGAAAAAAAAATTAAACAGTACCCGAAATAAAATTAAAAAAAGGTGAAAAGTTAAAAAAAAAAAAAAAAAAAAGAGGCAAAAAGGAAAAAAAATGCAAACGGTCTGACAAATGCTATGCTGGGTGCCGAACCGAGGTACAGGCTTGAAAGGTAAGCATCCTAACCATTGGACTCTAAATGCTTTCTTGTTCCTCAATTATAGATAATGCATATGTATAAAAGAAAACCTGAACAGGGTTGTAAACAGTTAGATCCCCACGTCTTTTAGATATATAGTGATAAGATTAGGAAGTGCCGATGATTCAAATGGAAATGGGGAATTAAAATTCTGCACCCCTTCTTTTTAGCAACTTTAATCAAAACATCAAGCTTTGTCAGTGGGGTTTTTCTTGTCATAAATAATGATGTATGCCTATCCATTCCTTAGTTGTATTAGACTCTGTTTCTGTCTTGCAGCGAGTCAACTACTGCCAGCACTCTGGTGGCTTGGGCTAGTTATGTTATGCGGCAGGGTGTTGGGACATCTTGCATAGATGTTCTTATCAAGCGGGACTTTTCCATAGTTCATAATCATTAGGAAATCTTGTTTATAGAGGAAGAGGATGGAGTGGATCCTAGAACTTCTTTTTTTCTTTAAATGTTTGTATGGCTTTGAGCTATTGTACTCCATTTAACTTATTAGTATATTGTGTTTTGAGCTATATAATATTTTTAACTTTGATCATATGATCCTTGTCAAGTGGGTTTTTGTCAAGTGGGTTTAGGAAACAATTTATGTGCTCATAATTTGATATCTCAATCCTGTCTGCTGCAGTTTATGGCTTATTCTCTTTAGCATTTTCATCATTCTTGCATTGCTCGGGATTTAATTTGCCTATGTCAGAAATATTTTTTCAATCTTATGGGTGGTTGCAGAAACTGCCTAGCCATACCATAAACAGCAGATAATATGGATTGGCATCCACTAGGAATCACAATATGGCTGTCACCGAGGCACCAAATTAATCATCAGGCAGGATTCACTCATCACGCAAATGAATAACCATAAAGTGCAGGAGTCCAAACTCCAGTCTGTGAAGTCCCTTTTCATCTCATCTGCAAGAAACCATGGCTCGTAGCAACGTTTTCATACATGGAACATTGGGGTGCTACAAATCCCACAAAGGGATGGCAATTTACCCCATCCCAACGAAACTCCAGAAACTCCAGACACTCCCCACCCTGATCAACATGAGGATTTCTCGATTTGATTGGAGAACAAAGCAGGACGCCCCACCCCCCAATGAATTTAAACGGAGATGGGGCAAGGATGGCATTTGCCCTTTCCGCCCTGTCGCCATACCCTGTCACCCAGGCACTAAATTAATCACCAGGCAGGATTCAGTCGTCACGCAAATGAAAGAACTATAAAGTGCATGAGTCCAAACTCCAGTCTATGAAGTCCCTTTTCATCTCATCTGCAAGAAACCATGGTTCGTAGCAACGTTTTTATACATGGAACATTGGGGGGCTGCAAATCCCACAACAGCCTGATGAATAATTTTCTTTCTTCAAAGATAAATCAAAGAAAGTAGACAGTACAAGGCCAAAAGTGTTAGTCTAGCTAACACCTAAACAGTAACACGAGCTAGATATCAAAACAGGCACCGATGCTCTAACAAATTCAATGCTTTGCAAGATAAAAAATAGCCGTAATAGCAGTACCAAATCTACTTTAAACTTCCAACACAAGATGACCAAAAACTAAACATCCGAGACTCTGAACTTAAAGCCACATGCAATCATCTCCTAGGGAGTTAATTTTCTCCTGTCATTAAATTTCTTAATCTTAAAAGTGAGAGAAATTCAAAATATAATAATTCTAAAATTAATCTTGCAAGAAATATAGAGAACACTTTGAAATCATAAAGTTTCATATTTCATACAAAAGTAAACAAAATTCAATATCCATTATCAAATCTTTAAACAAAAAAGATACTGATTTCTAGTAAACTAAATAAAAAAACAACAGCCCAAGAGAAATAAATAGCATCTCTCTAATCGGCGATGGTAACTTCAACCTCAACACCAGGTTCAATTGTAATAGAGGTAATCTGCTTGACAACATCAGCAGAACTGAAGAGATCAATAACACGCTTGTGAACACGAAGCTCAAATCTGTCAAATGTGTTGGTTCCTGCAAGCAGATGAGAAAAAATTAGCACAATAGAAAAGGGGGCAACCATTTCTATCACACGTATACAAAGAAAAGGTTCTGAGGCAAGCATCAATTTGGACATTTCTGTGTGAGCATCAGCAGGAATACGGTAAAGAAAATTATGAATTGCTCACTCATTCCAGAACCAACTAGCATGGTCTAACAGATACACCCTATCTCTTATGCTCAGACTAAAACACCAAGAAAGTTGAATAGGTAACATTTTAATTACTAGGCCCTTTTTTCCCTGCATTAACCAATTAATGCTACTGGATAAGACTGAACTGCGCACACCAGCCTACATCTGATTACTGAGTAGTCCTAAAGGGTAGCAAACAACAGAGCTTGTCTATAAAGTACAGTAATGTTTTGCTACCCCGTCTAAATCTCACACTCAGACTACTCTTATCAAATCAACCGTTCAACCATTACCCAAAAACAAGAAAACAAAATCAATATCCCGAAGGTTTTACAAGGATATGTAAATAGCGCATGAAGTGAAGAATAAAGTGAAATGCCATACACTGCACATTAATCCAACCATGATTAGCCAGATAAATACCTTCACCACAAGGGGATTTTCTGGTGGTGATGTTAAGAACCTTGGTGGGGATTCTCACTGGTCCCTTAACCCTCAGTCTCTTATCCTTGGCACCACGAACCAAGTCAGTGCAAACTATCAATAACAAAAAGCAGAGAATCAGAACAACAGAGAGATACAACTCAAAATAACATAATAGGATTTCGAGAACAGACCTTTCTCAAGGTTTTTGACATTCTTCGAGGAGAGGGTGATCCTGATCTTATGGATCTGCTCTTGGGTCTCCTCTAAACCCGGCTTTTGTGCCTTCATAGCTCCATAAACTGCTGCTGCCGCCATTTTCTCCTTCTACTTTTCTATCACATAAACAAAACAAACCATGAAACACAGAATTTCGACCTAAAGTTTCCGGTTCTCTAGCTATTAGTCTTTAAACTAAAAAGACTTCATAACTAGCATTAGCAGATTTCAACTTATACCTAAAATTATCTAAAAAGAGCATCAACACAAACCTGAGAGGAATTGGAGAAACAGGGACGGTTTTCTGCTTGGAGCGAGGGGGCGATAGATGAAAATGAGAGAGCAAACCTAGGGTTAGGGTTATAGCGTGATAGATGTATAAATATCTATGGCTGCGCGTGTTTAGTATTAGGTTTTTGTGTTATTAATATAAATAGTGGGCCGGGTCAGGTCTGAAGTTAACCATTTTTTTTAAGTGCATTTTAGACTCATTAAATTGGCCTATTGTGTTATTATTATTAGGTGTTGTTTGGTGATCATAAATAGAGTTATGAGAATAAAAATTTTATTTTCATATTAAAGCTATTTAGTTAAAATAAATAAAGTAAGAATGTAAATGAAGAGTAAGAATGGGGATAAAAAATTACACATAACTTCATTCCTACATAAGATACAGTAATAAAAACAAGGAATGAGAATGATTTTTTTTTAAAATAATAATATATTTTATTTATTTATTATCTATTAACTACTTTTACTATCCCATCACCACAACCACAATCATTATAACCACCATCATCACCACCACCACTACCACCATTGTCATAACCATAATCATCATCATCACTTTTATTATTTTTACAATCATTATAGTTTAATAAAATTATTTTTTAATCATTTTTTTATTTGTATAAAAAATCAGATATCAAAAAATTTAAATTGCACTCGATTCCTTATTAGTATTCCAAACACAAAATGAAAATACAAATATCATTCTCATTCTCATTGCTTTATTCCCGATTATCAAACAACACCTTATTATTATTTGGCCCTTTGATTCATTTAAATTAGAAAGAATGGTTTCATTAGCAAATTTAAATGGGTTTTGCATATATCGAGATCTTGTATAATTCAAATTTTTTTATGAATACCCTAAGTTTTTTTTCTATCCAATTTTAAAGTTCTATTTTTATATTATTGTTTCAAACTCTAATGTGCCACGTAAGCACACGTGGCAAACTCTAGCCAATGATGGCTTGCTATTGTCATGATGGGGGCTCAATTGGGTTTTAACGAAACTATAAAAAATATTAACGAATTCTAAATAGCTAGATAAATGATAAACCTAAAAATAAGTTAGGAAAATATAATTCAACCCTTATCCAATAAAACTAAAAATCCCTTCCCCTCAACCATTCATTTCGGCTTTTTTTTTCTTTTTCCTTTTTCTTTGATCCGCAATAAAAAATGACAATCCCTAATTTTTAAATTTCAAACCCTCATATCCAATTTCCTAATTACAAACTCTAATCCTCATCTCTCCTTTGACGAGTTCTACAATAACCTAACCAAAGTCTAAAACAGAGTTGAATTGGACCTTGTTTAACCTCGACATTAGCTAGTATTTATGAAAATGCCATTGAAAAAAAATCACAAAAATGCCATATTGTGAATAGTAAATTATGACAAATGAACAATAAATAAATAGTATTTTACCGTTCATTTGCCCTATTTCTTTTAGTTTATTTAGTCATATCAAGAATAAGGTAAAAAAACACGTGAATTCTATTATTTATTAAAAATTCATAATGGAGAAAGATAAATCATATTTATTAACAAATAAAATTTCATACAAAATAAAAAATTTAATTTGATGAGAATTTTTATAATAAATGATAAATTTTAGAGATTAATTTTAATAAAAAAAATATAATCCGATATATATATATATATGTTTGTTCTAAAATTTAAAAATATAAGAGGCAAAAAATATCTTTTAAAAATATGAGGAACAAAAAATATATTTTGAAAAAATGTGAGATAAAAATGGATTAAGTTAAAAACATGAGATGTTAAAATATTTTTAAAAAATATGAGGATTTAAAAATACATTTTTGAAAACATAAGGGACCAAAAGGAAATGAAGTTATAAATTTGAAAATAGATTATCAAAAGGTTATAAAAAATTATGAAAATGCCATATTGTGAATAGTAAATTAAGGCAAATGAATAGTATTTTACCTGTTCATTTGCCCCACTTCTCTTAGTTTATTTAGTAATGTGTCATATAAACACACATGGTAGGTTTAACTAATGACGACTGTCATGTGTCATGGTAGGCTCAAATTAAGTGATCAAATTAGTAACATGACAAGCTATCGTTGGCTAGAGTTTACCACGTGTGCTTACGTGACACATTAGGGTTTAAAACAATAACGATATAAGAGTAGAAATCTTAAATTGGACGAGTAAAAAACTTAATGTCTCAATCGATATGCACAAAACCCGTTAAACAAATAAATATCTTATGTTCTTCATGATTTGAACCAATCACTCTTAGGTGCAACATCTTTTGAATTTTGAGGGCCTACAATGTCTTTTCATGGCAACCTTTGTCTCGTGACAATACCAACGATCACCTTCGTAAGGCTTTACATATATCGAGACTTCATATAATTTGAATTTTTTTATCAAGATTTGAAGTTTTTTTCTTTCTAATTTAAAAGTTCTACTCTTATGTTATTATTTTAGACCCTAATGTGTCATATATTCCACTTTTGTTTCCATATACGAGTGAATAAGAGATACATTTTAAAGTAAACTAAAGGGACTAATTTATATTATTAGGAGGTCTATTTAGGGTTTAAATTACACAATGGAGAGTAGTACTCTCGCATTACGTAATAATAAAAAGTAAACTAAAATTATTATAAATCAATCGTTTTTCACTGAAAAAATTTATCAAATACACAATTACTAAATCATACTTGTTTGTACTTGATATAGTTTTATAGATTTTTAGGATTTGTCATTTTTATTTTAGTTAAGAAAAAAGTTTTAATGTTTTAGTGGTTAGTCACACTATTAGATTTTTTTTTTCACATATTTAGTAGTGGTAGAATCGGCAATTATGAACCCTATCCAAACCCATCCATAAAAATGGTGTCATGGACTAAGTGTCTTTTACCCCAAACTCAAAATAAACCGAACCTAAAAATTGTTACTATAGGAAAGGATAATTCATAAATAAAATAATTATGTAATTGGTAGAAAAGCAGAACAATAGCATGAAAGGTATCATGAGTAACTTATTTTGATATTTTCATATTAAATGTGTTGGATGGTTCCAATTTCATGACTAAAACTATGAAATAGTAGCTTAAGAAAGCCATATATTTCAATTTATAGCACATATTTATTTTATAGAAAATATTTCAATTTATTAATATGCTGAGATATTGGAGTAAATTAATAGAAAAATTGTAAATACATACCAATAATGCATTCAAATTTATTGTATGAACATGAAAGGAGAGAAAGAAATCACAAATTGACTTAAATCCGTGGCATCTCCAACTCTCTTTCAGGTATTGCTTTGCTACTGAAAAAAATCAAATTAAATATAGTTTAAGTGTTAAATGAATTTTGTTATCTAAAAAAATTTACAAATCTGCTAGTTATGATTTTTTTTTTTTAAAGACTAATAGCTAGAGAAATGGACGGTTTTGTGTTTATTACTTGTTTTGTTTTGTAATAGAAAAGCAAAAGTAGAAAACGGCAGCAGCAGCAGTTTATCTATGAAGGGGCAAAAGCCAGGTTTGGAGGAGACCTAGCAGCAGATCCATAAGATCAAGATGACTCTTCCTTCCAAGAGGCGAGTTACCATTGCTGACTAGAAATTGCTTATACGAGGCTGTTGTTTTATTCAGTTTACTACTTTTTGGTTGGAACTTGGAAGACGTTTAAAGATTCTATAATGGAGATGGAATTTTGTTTCCTGTTTTACTTCATTATGAATTGTTATGATTTCAAAGTGTTCTCATGTATCAAGATTAATTTTTGAATGAATATAGTTTGAATTTGTTTCACTGTAAGAAATTTAGTTACTTTCAGAAAATCAACTCCGTAGGAGATGCATGTATATGGCTGTAAGTTTGAAGCGTTGTTGCTAAGGTATCCTCTGCCCATGAGTTGGAAGTTTAAAGGAGTTCTGGTACTGATAGTCAAAGCACTTTGTTTTTTATTTTTTCCTCTCAAGCAATCACATCTGCATAGGGCATAGCGGATCATGATTTTCTGGTACGTTGATGAAGTTTATAGGTTCATCAAGAACAATGTACTGATCTGGTAGGAATAAGTCTAAAGGGAATTTGATTCAAGTATTCACTTACAATACCTTCAGAGAGCATATGCATTGCAAACTCACAGTATCTTGCTAAGATTGATAGTTAAAGCAACTCTCCGAATCATCAAAAACCGGCAACAGGAAAAGAATTAGGAGTGTAACTTACTGTAACTTTTGCTGGTATGGAAAGAGAGCACGTTATTATAACTGCCACAACTAATTAGCAAGCTAAAGAAAACATTATCGGAAATCAGACAGCTTGTAGAGATATGAAAAAAATGTTGGAACAAAAATCAGCAATTTCGGGAAATATAAAGAAAATATCTAAACTTAATGATATAGAAGAAAATATCAGCAACAGATTAACCAGACTCATCAGTTCTCACCCTGATATCCACAATAGCAATCTCATGTTGTTCCTCCAACTCTTGAGTTAATGATACTATTGAAATCAACATATGAACCAAAGGAAAAAGAAAAAACTAAACGAATTTAAGTCCTCATTCATGTATGCAGAACTGAGTGCATTCAAGAAGAGATATCTAGTAAAAAAATTATACAAAATCACAGTATCTTGCTAAGATTGATAGTTAAAGCAACTCTCCGAATCATCAAAAACCGGCAACAGGAAAAGAATTAGGAGTGTAACTTACTGTAACCTTTGCTGGTATGGAAGAAGAGCACATTATTATAACTCACAACAAATTAGCAAGCTTAAGAAAACATTATCGGAAATCAGGCAGCTTGAAGAGATATGACAAAAATGTTGGAACAAAATCAGCAATATAAAGAAAACATCTAAACTTAATGATATAGAAGAAAATATCAGCAACAGATTAACCAGAATCATCAGTTCTCACCCTGATATCCACAATAGCAATCTCATGTTGTTCGTCCAACTCTGAGTTAATGATACTATCGAAATCAACATATGAACCAAAAGAGAAATAAATAAATAAATAAAATAAAAGAATTTAGGTCCTCATTAAAAATTATACGAAATTCTTTGAAATAATTAAAAAGCTTAATTTAAGAGCATAGAATCTATAAACACAACCGGTGCATCCAGGCTTCACAATGACTTGAAACACAAAAACAATCATAAAAATTGAAGAAAAAAATGCATTGCAACATTCTTATCGCATTTAATAAAAAAGGAGCACACCTACAACACATGAGAGAAAAAAACCAGGCATGCACACACTACACACCCTTGCATAGGCACACATGAGGAAGATGGCCGAAGCGTCAAATAAACACAACAAAGTTTAAAGATTCCTGAGTTGAGATGAGACTCAAATAAACACAACAAGGTTTAAAGATTCCTGGGTTGAGATGAGACTTTGAGACATTCCCTCTTGATTCTATTTTAGAGTTCATATCAATTTAGTTCTGGGATTGTTTAACTTTTTCCAGCTGAAGTTGTTTACGAGTTCATATCATTTTAGTTACAGGGGTTGTTTTAACTTTTTCCAGCTGAAGTTGGGTGTACGCTATTCCATTCAGACACCAGATTGTTTATGTAGCTATTTGGAAATGAAGTTTTCTAAAGTTTTACCAATCAGACACCATATTTAACTGGTTAACGTTCTCTTAAGTTTTCTGCCTAGGAACATCAATAACTCCGACTTTGTTTTTCGCTAAGGCAGAGACAAAAAAACATTTTAAGTAAATGTAACTTCCCCTTCTTCCAAAACAAATCCATGAAGTCGACAGAAAAAGGCGGAAGGGAAAAGATTCGAGCAAAAATGTGATGAATCATCAACCATCTATAATAAGAATGTCTTGAACAGTTAACTAGAGAGAAATGGAGAAAAAGAATTGCGTCCAAAACACTCGTAATTGAGAACCACAACAAGAGTTGTACCAAACATATCTCAACAAGAATTGCACCGAACATATCAATAATTTACGCAAAATTGAGGAAAGTAAACAAGAACATCGCTATATCTCCTCTTGTCACGAAATGATATGGACAACCCAGAATAGGTAACAGAGGGATTAACGAAACCCAAAATAACATTTGCAATAGAATTCTCATTGACAACCTAAACTAGAACTAAAATCCTAATGGAAAAAAGAATGACTAGAGAAAAACAACGAGGAAGAGAAAGGGCGATGCTTCTGGTTTCTCATTACAGTTCAGGAGGTCTTTAGCATGCAAATAGACCATCAAATTCCTATATGGGGACAGAATGACCAATCCCTTACTGTCACAGCAGCGTGTAGCTAAACGAACATGAATAACCAACAAAATAAATGACAAAGCGTATGAAATCATATGAATCGAATCAAATAAAGATTCAAATGATAATACCACAGATCCACCAATTTACATAGCACTCTTCTTCCCAGATGGCTTATAGTAATCCAGATACCATGCCACAAATTTCTTCAAACCCGATTGCAAATCGGTAGTGGGCTTATAGCCAAGCTCCCTCCTCGCCAAACTAGTATTAGCATGAGTAAACAGCACATCACCATTTGCAGGCATTGGCAACACAACCTTTTTAGCCTTAACTTTCAACAACTTCTCCAATATACTAACAAGCTTACTAACCGGCACCGGCGAGGTATTCCCAAGATTATAAACCCTCAATTGCGCCGGCCCTTTCTTAACCCCACCGCTCCCTGTACTCTTAGTAGCAGTATCCAATGCACCTAAACAGCCCTTCACTATATCATCAATGTAAGTAAAATCCCTCGAAACAGTAAATCCATTTGGCCCAGCAAAAACCGTGATCTTCTTCCCTTTCAATATATCCCTAGTAAAAAAGAAATAAGCCATATCCGGTCTTCCCCACGGACCATAAACAGTGAAAAACCGCAACCCCGTGATTGATAAACCATGAATATGATTATAAGTATGTGCTATAGCCTCACCAGCCTTCTTAGTAGCAGCATAAAGACTTGAAGGATGATCGGTTCTATCAATCTCTGAAAAGGGTACTTTTTTATTAAGTCCGTAAACAGAACTAGATGATGCCCACACAACAGCAGGCTGTGGATTCACTGATTTACAAACTTCAAGTAAACTAACAAAACCACCAATATTACTATGAACATAAGAGCCAGGATTCTTCATTGCATACCTTACACCAGCCTGTGCTGCTAAATGCATTACATGTGTAAATTTAACTAATTTAAAAAGCTTAGTCAATAAAGCACCGTCATTTATATCACCTTCAACAATAAAAACACCTTTTTTATTCAGCATTTCCTCTCTTGCTCTCTTCAATGACTTGTCATAATAGCCATTGAAGTTATCAAGGCCTACAACACCGTCTCCTCGCTGCCTGAGTGCAGTGGACACGTGCATTCCAACAAATCCAGCGGCTCCAGTTACCAAAACCCGGAACCCAGTTCTTGATTTGGGTCGACCCGAAAAGATAATCTGGTTCTTCCAATCAGGGCCTTCTAAATCACTCCGTCTCTTATTGGAACTTGAGTGAGGGTAGTGTAAAGAGAAGAAGAGGATTAGGCCAAGGAAAATGCAGGTCCAGGCTATTAATTTAATGAGTGAAAAATGGGTTCTTAATCTGTTAACGTTCAATGGTTTGTCCATTTTGGTGGGTTTTTTTTTCTTGGGAAAAAATTGCTGGGAAAACAGAGGAAAGTTTGAGACTTTGATGGGTTTTGATGGAAAGTGAAGATTTTGAAAGAAAGTTTGAGTCTTTGGTAGGAAAATGAAGTAAAGTTTCGGTCTTCAGTGGGTTTTGTGAGTTATGCTTGTCAAAAAACGAAAATTTTGAAGTAAAGTTCAAGTCTTTGATGAGTAAGTAAGGGAAAAACGGTGAATTGGGTTTGAAGAAGACAATGTGGAGGTGGGTTTTGTAGGTTTCTGAGGGAGACAGAAGAGGATGACTACGGAAGAAACTGGATTGGTGTTATCTCCATATGGGTAAGGTTGGTTTTTTATTTTAGATGGAGTTTTTGTTCTTCTTGGAGAGGTAAGTCTTTAGTTAGTTGATTGCAGTTGATGGGTTAAGATCTTTTAGATTTTGGAATTCTATCTGTTTGAGGAGGGAGAAAGGAATGGGAGAAAAATGGTAGTAGGATTAGTTGAAATTTCACCACTCTCCTTTGTAATTAACAAATTAATATGATATTTGTGCTTTCTTTTCTTTTTTTTTAAATAAAAGAAACTGTCTTGTTTCTACGGGGTTTAAATTTCAAAGGAAGATATGAGGAAAAAGATTTTATGAATCCAATAATTCAAATATGAATGCACAACACCAATCTTGGTATGAACTATTTATGTGCACAAATCATGCTTATTTTTTATGTAAAAAAAAAAAAAAAAAAGAGGCTATTGACGCCCAAGAAAGGAAATAAATTAAACTGCTAATTGATCAAAAACGTGTGGACCATTAGTTATAAACGCCCCGGTAATTGTGGGTTTTTTTTTAATCAAAAGTAGGACGTGTGGACCATTGACTTTGCTTTGATGGTGTATGATTTTAGTTTTGGGTAAATTTTTTTTTAAAAAAATTGATCTTGAATTATAAAATAAAATAATATTTTTTATTATATAATAATTGAACAACTAAAATGATTGGATAGACCTGCTTGAATAAATTTGGGGTGACGCAAGTGGCACTTGGCAGTAGTTTTTTGTGGACTAGTTTGGAAGAAAAGTGGGCATTGGGTACAAACACATGCTAAAAAAATAGTTGTATATTTATGAACGAAGAAGAACGAAGCCATGTGGAGAAACTGAGAATGACAATGAACTTTATGGCTAAGGGCACTCCTATCTCTATAATTTCCCTCCATGAATGGGCATTCTTGGAGAACCAACCATGGCTAATGGGACTTGAGACAAGTACCAAGGAGATAGGTGCATTGTTTAGTCTCTTAAGTTCAGACCACGAGTCCAAAATCGTACTGTTTTAGGTGTATTATTATTCAGAGAGAGATGCAAATTTCATGCTAGCTAGGTAAAACCATGTTAAAAAGAAAAGAAAATCAAATCAAATCCTTGTAAAACCACCACCTCCTCCATGTGGAAGTTTGCATAAGATCTGAAAACAACCTTACATGGGCGAATGCCCGTGAAGTGTTGTGCTTGCAATAAAATATGTGTCAAGAGTTAGAGACTACACAGGAAGAAGTGTAAAATAAATCATTAGAAATGACCATGAATCCAGTCATCCTTGTTGGGACATGAAGTTATTACAATTGATTAATGACTTAATCTAAGTTAAACATGTGTGGTACCTTAAACAATGTAAGAGGCATTGCCCTTCTGTCCATGTGGTCAAGTGGGCTATTTTTTAACACCTATCCAGCAATTTGTGCTATTTCTAACAGTGCTATCAGTTTGTAACTAGTGAAGAAGTAAATGGTAAGCACAATAATCTTGTTGCCTAGACAGGACTGGGGATGGCCATCCATGCCTAGTCGCGTCTCGTTTAGGACGGGAATGGAGAGTGAAATTTTGCTCCGAACGAGATATGGGCAGAAATGATTTTTTTTTAGGGGACGGAGTGGGGATGGGGAATGTCCGCCCCGTACTATTGCCATCCCTAGACAGGACCCTTTTTGAGCGACTTATGGTGCACAAAGCTTCCTCTACTCCAGCTGGGCTTGAGAGCAAAAGTCTTATAGACACCTACCTGTGTCATCTAGGATTGCTCAAGCTTTGGGCCAGGAAAAGGCCTTTATTTAAGGCGGAGGAATGTGGCTTTATTTATTTATTTATTATTATTAGGTAATAAGGATGTTATTGAATTAGCTTTTATGTATTTCAAGATTAATTTTTTTATCGACGTGGTTAAATGATATTCCTTTTTACACGATATCAGGTATTTTGAAAATAAATTTTTAAAAATACTGATCATAAAAATCAAATCTTAAATCGACTTACAAATAATCACCAATTTAATAAAAAACTATTAACTTGTAGTTAGAAATGCGGCTTTTAGTTGAATAAGTTTTCACATGAACAAAATAGTGTCAAATGTGAACGGAATTGGAATCAAGTTCCAAGTAAATTAATAATAATAATAATAATAACTAAACCTAACAATTTCAAGCATAATTATCTCTCGCTCGATTACTTTAGGTGAGAAGGTTTCGTTAACAATCTATTCAAACCTTTATAGGTAAACTCAAATATTCCAGTTTCGTGAAGAACTTATTCTGAGGAATCCGTGATATTTTTTCTTTTTCATTTTAAAATGTAGCCTTAAATTTATGTAAGATTAATAGTTTAATTTTCATAAGATAATTTTTCAATATGTTTTTAGGCTAAATTATATATTGAAATTAATCATACGATTTGCATATAAAACTCTTTTATTTAATTGGTTTGTAAGGATATTTTGAAATAAAAATTAATCATTTATAAATTACATGAATAATTTGGCATGAAAATTTTAACATATATAAAATTAATTCAATTAAAAATATAAAAACAAATTAAAAAAATTAACTTATTAACTTATTTATTTAACAAAATAACCTCCGTCTAGAGCTGCTTTTAGAGAGACTAGAGAGATTCAATTCCTTGATTCTCAAGAGACCACTGAAAAAATAATAATTTTTTTTTTTTTAAAAAAAGGTTTCTCGAGATCCTGTTAGAGAGGTCATAGAGATTCAAACATTTGATTCTCATCCCATTAAGAGTCCACTCGGCCCAAGAATCGAGCAAAAAGTCCCAAATCTTTCTAAAAATCTCCGAAAATCACACTCATCTAATTCATCTATCTCGACCTACCAAGTAGGGGATTTGGAGGATTCTATCCGGGATGAAGATAACATCAAGGTGCTTACAAAAAGATTCAAACACAACCATCCATTGCGATTGGCAAAACGTTATAGCAGCTCTTTATGGGGTGCAAATGGCTAAGGAAAACAGATTCTCAAAAAGAAAAATACTAGCAATAATCTCTCTAGCATTCTTCTTTAAATACTTATTCGATAAAAGTGCGCAAGTCAAATAATAACAAATCGAAAATAATTGATGCCCCATATTCTCGAGAATTATTTTACTCTGACTGCCTTCAGCTAGTTTCTTAATTTAGTCGCCAACTGCTGGAAAGATCAAGGCTACTTGTCTGTTAATCTCGTAAGAGATATCTTGCACATGTCTTCTTTTTTCCAGTATTTTAGTTGTAAGCTTACTAGTAGACAAACCAACAAATTAGCTCATTGTTTAGCTAATATGGGCAGATTTTAAGATCAGAAAGTCATTTTGATGGAAGATGTCCCGCCATCAATGGTCCCGATTGTCCAGAATGATGTTCCTACGTTTTTTAGTTGACTGAAATGCATGGAGTTATCAAAAAAGGAAAAAAAATGAAAAGAAAATGGAGATTAAGTACAGAAAACAAGCAGAACCCAGTTTGGATGGCTAGAGAGGTCCGATAGCCATGCATGAAAATGATAGCCTTGGCCTTGTTACATGGCTTGGATGCACCGCTTCATTCACTTCACAACACAGACACGTTGGATGTCTGTGTATCCTTGAAGGATGAAACAAGGGGCAAGAGATGGTCCCTTTTGCTCATTTGGTGTAAAAAATGTATGGATGTCAGATCATTTAGGGTCTGTGTTCGAATGACTTTCAGAATCTGAAATCACATGTAGCCAGATAACGTTAATCCGTCGATATTTGTCCCTTCCCCATCTCTTGTGGACTAGATAAGCACTTGCAATTTTGCAGGTGCTGTCGCTATGCTCTACCAAGCCATCTCTTTCTTAGTGACTTAATTGTCATGTAATTGACGAACAGTTGGGCACAGAGCATACGAGCTTGACATTAAGAAACAAAAGGTGTGTGCTAACCTCCAAAGTTCATCAAGGCCGAACTTTCTTACTGAACCACATCCTGACCCACCTTGAGCATGAAAGTCCAACCACATAAGCCTTTAACCCATTAATTCTCAATTTGTCAGCTCTGTATCTGTGCGAATTCCAAAGCAAATCATTGAGTTTCAATGATTTGGTCGTTGTGCAACTACAATCTTTTTCACTTTTTGCGCTAGAGAGAAAAAGTTCGTTCTAGTTTCCCTAATCAAATATCTTTTGATTCAAGATTTTTTTTCTTTTTTTCCTCTTTAAAAAGTCGGACTAGCCTTGAATTGCACAATGAAAAACAATCTTTGAATCTCTATACTTTATCCTTTCATTAATTTCTTTTATTCGAAAGATTGAGTTTAATTTTATTTTTAGTTATTTAAATTTATTATTTATCATTTGATTTTTGTTTAATCGTCGTTTTTTTTAATGTAGTTTTATAGATTTTTAGGATTTGTCATTTTTATTTTAGTGAAGAAAAAGCTTTAATGTTTTAGTCGTTAGTCACAATATTAGAATTTGTTTTTTTAAAAAAAATATTTAATAGTAGTAGAATCGGCAATTATGAACCTTATCTAAACCCACCCATAAAAATAGTGTAATTGATGAAATGTCTTTTACCCAAAACCCGAAACAAACCTACGAACTATGGGTCGGGTTGGGTCAGCCGATAAACCACCCATGGGTCAAGTGCTATTTTAAATTTTAAGAAATATGTGCAGCACAATAAGTTAAAATGATAGTGAAGAAAATGGATGATGG